TATATATATAAATGTATATTTTTTTGTGTGTTTTCAGAGTGCAATAAAGTTAGCCGGAAAAAATAATATTAAGAAGCTGCATACATTATTGTCAATAGTGGAAGAGAAACCAAAGGTGGATACAGGACAGAATAACAGGCACAACGAGCACCACATCAAAAACAATTTCAAGCACAACCATTACACACATAATTCCATACTGACACCCTCGACATTAAACCAGGTATAATTCAGTAATCTTAATTGAATTATATAAACAGTTGAATCTCTTACCAATCTCATCCTTTTGGAAATTTCTTTTATAGGGCCTAGATGCAGGTACAAGTGACGATAGTGGTAGAGCATCTGAACAATTGCACGGCCCTGGTATACCTAGGGATTGCCAGGACGCAGACAGTTCTAGGGACCATCTCAGCGATGTAATCTCATACACTATAATTCATTTAAATTTATATAACGTAGAATTCATATATGGTAAATAAATGTTGGCAGAATAAAAATTTGTTTACCATACAAAGATCAACATCTATTTCTTTATCATCTAATGTTAAGAGATATAAGTTACTATATTTACAAACCTGTTTTCATAATATAGGCTAGCAGTCATTGCAGTTCGGGTAAAGGTTATATCGTAAGTATCACAGATATTTTATAAATACAAATCCTATAAATTTTTTATTATAGTAATAAGTATGATAGTAACAAAGGATTATTTATTTATAAATCATTTCTTTGTTTCAGTGTGATAGTGAAGGAGAAGACGATAAGGTACATGCACAGTTTTAGGTACTTTATCAAGAAAACAATTGGTTCATTTTAATAACGTTATTATTTTTATTTTACAGGGCTCGGATGCCGAATCGATACTCTTTGAATCTTCTACCCCACCACCTCTTGCACGTAAATGTAAGTAATACTTTCTAAAATAAGAAATGTAAGTATGAGCAACATATTTATGTTTCAAAACTATGAATATTACCACATTATATCAGTGCAATATATATTTTATTTATATTTTGTTCTAGACGAATTGCCCTCTTCTTCGCCACACGTTTTGCCACCAGCAAACGGGGCAGGCGGGTCTCCACCGGATACGGGTGGGCAAATTTCTAATCCAGCAACGGATGCTCCGGCACCTATACCGCCTCCTGTGCCTGCGTCTGCACCAGTTCCAACAGCGCCGAGTCCTCCCAGTCCAACGTTGCCCCCACACATATCCCAGCCTCCTGTAAGTATGATTTCATGTTATAAAAATTTACTGTTATGTATACAAAAGAATTACATTTGTTAATAATTATACCCTGTTTCAGATGACTAGTCCTTTGGCAGCGAATCCACGTGCAATAGCTCCGCAACAGCGGCCGGCTTCCCCTGCTCTGCCACCACCTTCCCTGTCCCAGCAGCCGCACACTACGATACCTGCATTGCATCCACCTAATGTGCCCCTCGTCTCGTCAAGTCATACAACTAGTCCAGCGGTAGCCAGTTTAGGTGTCACGCCAGCAGCACCTTCGAATGGAGCGGCTACCACAAGTTATCCACCACCCATTCCTATAGCTGCGTATCCGCAGACACAACCATCGTATCCACCGCTCTATACTCCGTATACCGCTTTAAATCATAGCCCGTACCTTCCTCCTGCGGTACCATCCCCTTCTCATTCTGCTTCATCACGTGCAGATGTGGTAAGTTACACGCATTGTATCATTGACAAATATTATTTGTTCCAAGTCGTGAAATGCAAATACTAATAATGAGAATAATAATTGTATTTCAGAGAGGAAGTAGAGCTTCTCCTTGTACCAACATAAATAAACAGACCATAGGAAATAACCTTCCGAATCACAATAATACTCCATTGAGTGCTGCTACTACGACATGCGTGTCCACCATAACTAATACAGTTACCACGGCAAATTCTATCGCCCATAGAGACATGGTGGCCTGCAGTTTGTCTGGACGAAATAATAATTCTCCACGTGGACACAGTCCTAGTCGGGAAAGAGATAGTTACAGGTAAAATATTTCTTTTTTTGCGAATGCAGAATTATGGATACATCTGTCAGAGTTACTTAACTAGTTAAAACAACAGAAAATTTTTATGATAATTGTGATGTTTGTTACAGCAGCAACGTGAGTAGTCTAAGTCGCGGCAGCATAACGCCTGTTAGTGTGCCAAACACCTCCTCTCCAGCCAATTCTAGTCTACCTGCGTACACCAAGCCACAAGGTTGGATTAGGTAAGTCGGCAAGTTTAAATTACTCGGTTAAATGTGTTACTTTTAAAAAACAATATTGAAATCTTTTATCTCTACAAAAAATAGCAGCAACACAGCTTCTCAGCTATCTCCGGCAACAGCTACATCCGTTCCGAGGCCAACTCCACCACCGGTACCACTCGGCATACACACATTTCCACCGATGTTTGCGGCACCTTTACCTCCACCTGTGTCCAGTTCAAGTCCGCATACTTCACTGTCTTCGCTTCCACCGCCGACGACCAATCCAAATCCGTTTTCCGCAGAGTCTTTGTTTCAAACAAGTAAGCTTATAATCAAATTTTTTCAATATATTATATATCTATGTAAACGTAGGCACAGATAATAAATACGCTAACCAAAAGAAGGGGTGACACATGTTGCAGGTCAGGCAGATCTTTTGAGGAGAGAACTTGATAATAGATTCTTAGCGTCTCAGGACAGAAATGTTGGGGTTGGAGTTGGAAATTTGGGTCCACCGGCATACCTTCGAACAGAAATGCATCATCATCAGCATCAGCACACGCATGTACATCAACATACAACGCCGTTGCTGCCACCGGCTGCAACGACGCTTTTTCCACCTCCAATTGTAAGAAGCATATCTACTATCTAATGATTGAAGATTTATATTTCTTTTATATCTGGCCAATATTATGTCTAAACTTATCAATATATAGTTCAAGGACATACCGAAGTTGGGAGGAGTTGAATCACCATTTTTTCGTGGAAATTTAAATCTTTCCGGTTATTCCGGTTTTAACACTGGCCTTCTTCATCCTGGAATTGGTCCGCCTTCGACACCCTTTGTGCCACCTAATCATTTAACTTCATTTGCGCCAAAGGTATATTTATGCAAAAAGCTAAAAAATCTGAAATTTTATATTGTATATTCCATTACACATATATCTTCAATCAACTGATTGATTTTTTTTAATCTAGAAAAGTGGAAAATGGAATGCGATGCATGTACGCATTGCGTGGGAAATATATCATCATCAACAAAAGCAACAGGCTGAAGCTAAGGCAGGAAATGTTGTTAGTACAAAAACTGAGTTATTAAGACCACCAGGCCATCTTTATCCAGGGGGACCAGGCAGTGGTCTTGGGCTTGGTGCACCATCGATGGCACCTCCATTTCCCACTAACATGCCATCTGCGCATCCTGCACCACCCCCACCTCATTCTGTCGGTTTTCTATCTACACCAACCTCACATTTAGGTAATAGAGGTAACAGAAATTCACATTTATTCATTTGTATGTTCATGTTTAGAAATACATTTGACTGCTACTCATTCTTGTAGTCATATATGTTATCTCTTTGGTGCATTAATTTTATAATATTGTTTTATATTTATACAGGAACAGGGATGTCTCCTTTTGGAAGATATTCTTCAACGTTTGGTGCGCCAAATCCCAATTTTCCAAGTCTTTCAACTTTTCCGCCAAGAGAAATGCCACCTATGGGCGGACTCAGTTCGGTGCATGATCCATGGCGAGGGTACGTTATATAAAATATTAATTAGCTATCGTTATTATTCTTTTTTTATTACTTCTCTTTCTATCCAGTCCAAGAAATAAAAATATATTAATTAAAAAGTATATAAAAGTATACAATTTTTTGCAGATTACAACGTGCTACTACCGGATTTCCACCGACTACTGTTTCGTGGGGTTTGAAGCCAGAACCGCCCGCGATAGATAGGCGCGCCGAATTGGAGGAACGGGAGCGTGAACGCGAACGAGAAAGAGAGCGCGAGCGGGAGCGCGAACGTGCCGAACGGGAACGCGAACGTATCAGACGCGAAAGAGAAAGGGAAAGGGAGAGAGAAGAACAACGCGAGAGAGAAAGGCGGGAACGCGAAAAAGAGGAAAAGAGGAAACAGCAGGAAGCAGCTGAACGAGAGCGAGAGAGGCGTGATAAGGAACGCCGTGAGATGGAAAGACGCGAGATGGAGCGCGAAAGATTACTTCACCAAAATCGGCAACACATGATCGTTCCTCGAGATCGTTCGCCGCTTAGGAACGGCTCGGCGCCCTTGGATACCGGAGAAGTGCGCATAAAAGAAGAACCACGCAGCAAAGACGACGAGATTGTAATGCTTCCACGACCACCGGTACCCGGCCCCGGAACGGCCGGGTCCGCGCCAGGACCAAATCCACTGCCCGATCCGAGATATCATCCACATCCACATACTTATCTCTCGAGGCATCCGCATAGTATGCCGGCTTCGCATTCTATGCCACGAAGTAGCATGCTTCCCAGTTTAAGCGCACATCCAATACAACACTTTCCACCGCCATCCGCGCCCGCTGGTCAACCGGGAGCTCCCTGGCCGGGCGATCCTTTCCGGGATTACCGGTACGATCCCCTGCAACAGTTACGATACAATCCATTAATGGCAGCGGCGGCATTCAGAGAGGAAGAAGAACGAGCGAAACTGTACGCTGGTTATCCTCCACCGGTGAATGCTCTCAGAAGTAAGGATCCTAGTCCAGGTCCGCTCAGCAATTTGCATATGCATCATAGAGCGGGGCCCGGCCCAGGAGTGCCGACGCGTCCGCTCGAAAATGCCATCATGCACGCGGATATTCACAAGAAGGAGGATGGATCGCAGTCTCGATGATATATCGTCTCAGCGTCCTCAGTTTCCGCGAGAGAACGCACTGACGGACCGACATTCTAAGCGGCTCCATCCTCCACTCCCCCCCCCCTCTCCTATGACGTTCGGAACCCGGTGCTGATATTTTGCTAACAGAAAAGAAGCGCGTTATCTGAAAAAAGAAAGTGTATATAGATATTATATATGTAATATTTATAGCTATCTCAAGAGAGAAAGATTACGAGAATGCATAGAACTATACAAGAAAACGTAACGAAGATGCCTTGCTATGATGCCACTGTACCACCGATAACGGCAGCTAACGAATGATGAATGTTTAATGAAAAATAGCTACGGAGGGCGCACGGCATCGCTGATGTGTCACAAATAATCATGCTGATGTTTTGTGATTTCTGCAGTTTCAGTGATCTGACTGTTTATAGTGGTAACAAGCCGTAATCACGACGATAACTATGCGTACAGATAAAAAAAGTATCGTGTGTAATATTAAAATAGTTATTATAGAACGTGAGGCGATGGTTACGTAAAAAAGAAAAAAAAAAGCAAATCCAAGTTAGGAGAAAGAGTTGAGCGGATCTCTATTATTATTCAAAAATTATTTAATTATTTATTTATTGCGACGCGTATAAACGAACTTGAATCTCTACTGCTACTGACGTACGAATGCGGACGTAAGATTTGCCCCTAATTTAATTGATGTAATATAAAAATGATCAAATGTATAAATTTTACTTCTTAGATTTTAATTTGTACATTAGAGACGGTAGAGAAAAAAAAGGAGAGGGCATATAAAACGGAAAGTTCTTTGGCTTTCGATAGCACGTGCTTTTTTCATTTGCATGCTGACTACAATAGCACTCTGGTGCTTTCCTGTGATATAAAAAGAAAAATTATTCAAAAGTAGTAAATTATTTTTTAATTTCCTATTGCGTAAATCGTGACAAATAGAGATTTGACAAGTGCAAATAAATCAAATTATCAAGGTAAAGTTACAGCAGTTAGAAATATTCTTTCGAAAAACACAGGATGACGCTTAATATAATAGTAGCTTGTGCGTGCCAAAAAGTTGCTTCAATCAAAGAATATGTTCATAAAGCCCGATTTTTCAATACGTTTACAAGACAAACTATGGCGATTTTATCTTTCTCTTTCGACTTTTCTCTCGATTTTCAGCCATATACGTCGTTGTGTTACCAGAAAGCCAATATGAGATCTCTTAAAAGTTCTGTGCCATGGACCAGGTTACATTCGAATATCCCTGGTGCCTAAAAAAAAAAAAAAAGAAAAAGAAAAAAGTGAACTTTGAATATGATCGGATTCTCAAACTCTATTTCGTTTATACTGTAAAGTCACTATAAAACTGTATATTATACAATTAACAATTATACACGCAGTTTAAAAATTGTAGATATTTTTCATCGATGCAAAGTTACAATGTGATGCAATGATTTTGTTCATGTAGATATCGCGAAGTAAGAGGATTTTGTGTGAATAGGTTTTTTCTAAAATTGATTCTTTGTAAAAGAATCTAATAATCATAGTTTCTATCAATATTGTTTTCAATATTTTTACCAACCTTTTCTCTCAGATTCCCCTTGAAGACTGTCAATTGCTTTTACGTTATATTATTAATAGAATATTTATGTAATTTCTGAAAAATTTATATATATTTCACACACATCCGTCTTTATTATTCATCCATATGTAAAAAGTTATTCAATCGACTGAACTTCATGATCTATTCTTTGTGCACATGATATAATTAAGACATAATTGATTAAAGAGAAACAATTATATA